TATATATGCATACAGATTTATACATACATATATATGTATATATGAAAATACTCGCGCGATGCATCGCTCGGATTACCCACAGGACGGGCGACATTAGATACACGTTTGCGCGTTTCGGCCGCGGAATTGTACAGCGAGCTAATGCATTACGTCCGGGGGCAACGGCGGTCGTGCGCGACTTTAAATTGTAAAAGAATTCAGTTAGTATTATACATATTTCATCTAACCCGGCGGAGAGATTGCGCCCTCGCAGAAAGTCGATAATTAATTGATTGTTTTTAAAATTCCGTCTCTTATCTTATCGACACTGATCGAGTTCGCCAGCGGCTTTATAGGATCCCTAACATCAGGATAGTAATTCTGTACACTTTTTCAACTAAGCTGCACGCCAATTATTTGTCGGTCTTGAACAAATTTAATTACTGATAGACCTGTCCGTGGATATATGCAGTCTATCCTGCAAATTGACCAAAATCGCGGAGAGGAGTCTGGAGGTTTTCACGTCGATCAGACGGTCACTAAATTTGTGAAATCCACGGGAGGAAACCGACAAGGAGATGATACACGCATTGTATCGATTGTAGATGTTAAATTTCAGAATTCGGACCAGCAACGGCGAGCATGATTAAAAGAGCGAGTACGCGCGCGTATCCCGTCCGCTCCGTCAGAACGGAGTGTGTTCCATCGCCTTAGCCAAGTTCCGTATTAAACCAGCCCGATGCCATTATGGAGACATTTCCCAATCGCATCGGCGGCCGATCTCCCGAACGAAGGAGGAGACGGAGGGGGCAAGATCTCTCCCGGCCGTTGCGGAAGCGCGACAGAGGGATCTCCTAAATATCTCGCAAAAGCGGAACGCTCTAGCGCTCGCCTCCTCTCTCGCGCCGTCGCAAGAGGAGGAGAGAGATATATATATATACATAGTACACGGCTTCCAGGACGAGCGAGTAAGCTTTTTGCCTACGCGGATGTAGGCGAGTACTCTCGTCCGCTGGTATGGAGGGTGCGGGACGGGGAGGAGGATGGCTCTGCATATTTCATGCGATTTTAATGTGTCTCCGCTGGTGCTCCGCTCGGCGAACACCCGGTAGAACACCCTGGGAGGGAGAAAGAGAGAGAGAGAGTGTGGTGTGTGTGTGTGTGTATGTGTGTGTGTGTGTGTGTGTGTGCGAGGGGCGAGGCGGAGAGAGAGAAAGAGGCCGTGTGCCACCACGTTGCACGGGGCAGGAGTGACTGCCGTGATGCTCTAATCGGCTTACGCAACAAGCCACCCTTATCCCCGGCCTCGGTCGCTCTCTCGTTCCCACCCCCGTTGTCCCGCCCTGCTTTCCCCAGGCCCTCCGTCGACGCTCCTTATCCGCGCCGGGGCCCTAAACGACGGGCTATTACTTTGCGGTTGCCTCGCTCCTGCATCCTTCAAGGACTCCAACGATGGTGACGAGGCGGTGCTGCGAGGGGCGAGGGGGAGCCGCGCCGTGCATCCCTCCGGGTTTATCGCGGACGAAAGTTCAATTAAAAAGTAGCCTTTCATCGACGAAGCCGCGAGGTTCTCGAGGAAGACGCACTGGACGCACATAACTTCAACACGCGCAAGTACTTGCACACTAAAAAAGATCTGGTAGATTCAACCAGTCGTCTGTTAGAAAATGGACGATTCAGAATTCCTTTAGGATTTACCAGATGTGCAGTGAAGCCTAGCAAACTTCTGGTCATGAAATATCGAGCCAGCTGTATCGTGCTAACTAGAAGTTCTGTTTGGTTTAGCCAAAATGCATTCTATCACACATATCTTGTTGATGCAATCAAGGCATTTTTCTCAGTGCACTTTCGCAACACGTCTTGAGTCTTTACGTCGACTTTTCTCGCAACATATAATACAGTAAAATATTTAATATATAAATATATATGAATATTATGTACGATATATATTCAATATATAATATAAATTTAATAAATAAATAAAATAAATTAAAAAATATTTATTATGCTTCGTAAGGATCAAAGTTGACGTAAGGAGAATCATTTATCTAGCCAGACTCGGGAATGCCATTTATGCCACAAAAGCACTCCGGATAGAATTTTCACATGGAGATCTTGTAAAAGTATGTTCGAGCACGCAGATAATGATTTTAAAAGTTCGAAAGAACCTATTGTTCGGTAAGGACTAAAGATATATATATATATATATATATATATATATATATATATATATATATATATCGCTTTGTTGAGAGGACGACCGTCTCCCCGATATCCGTGATTGGCGCGAAGGTGGGAATTTGGGTGTACACGTCTACTTCCAACTGAAAAATACGGGACGAAGCGATTATACACGCGCCGAGGGATATCGGTCAGCCCTTGATAATTATATTTCGACACGCACTCAGCAGTCGCCACTGTGGGTGGCGGAGAAGGCGGTCCAGTAAAATGAAGATGCACTGAAGATGGTGATTTATCGCGACACTCAGAGAACGTATAATTAAATATAAATAAAGAGTAAAATGAGAGTAATTGTACGCGATTGTCGATGCACCAAGAAAAAAAGATTTAGTTCGGTTACACGAATGAGATACGTTGAAATCGTACTTCTTCGAGTGCAGATATTCTTAATTTCAGAATATTCGAATCGAATATTCTACTAAATATATATAGATTATTACAATTAGAAATTGTATATTCATAACAAAGAAGAACGTTTGATACAATATTAGACCAAGAATATTAGACCAATATTCTTATTACATTGTTAAATATATTTGCCAATACACTTTCAATATAAATCTAATATTAGGTATATAATTATTATCGTGCAATATTTACATTCATTCCATGGCCAATATTGGCTCTACGTTGGATAATATCGACCAACACTGTGCTACTAGAGACGTGTCTCCTTCGAATGAATTCAAGAATCGAGTCCCAGAAAAATCGCCCGGGGGCCTCAATTCTTGAATTTATTTGAAAGAGAAACGTATGCGAAAATTCTACTCTCACAGAAAAATTGCAAACCAATTGGCTAAAAACCATACGAATAGCCGATCAACCTGCAACTTTTTTGTAAGACCAGGGGGTCAGTTCTGTATCTTACAATATAGTGAAAACGCTAAGAGCGAGCGACTTTGTCTCTTTCTAAGGGGACAATTATAAAGAGATAAGGCTACTCGCTTTTAGCATTTTTACTATAGTACATATAAGATACAGAATTGACCCTTAGATATTTCTCATACGTTTTCCTTTCAAAGGAATTCAAGAATCGAGCCCCAGTTCAATTCAAAGCTACGTTCGCCCGACCCTGCAGGAAATAATTCTACAAAATTCTACAAAAAAAGAAAATGTTCTGCCAGAATCTAAGAAATGCTACGTAAATTTCAAAACTGTTATAAAAATCAACATAAAAATACTAGAATTTGAACACTTTTGTAAATTTTTGTAATATTCTACAAGTAAGCAGACGTTTTAATTCTTTAAGATTTTGTCGTTTCTCAAATTTTTAAAACTAGTAAAGTTGATTTGTATTAATTTTTACAAAATTGTATATTTTTATGAAATGCAATAATTTCTTGATTAGAGAACATTGTAATTTGTAGTACTATTTCGTTGATATTTTTACAAAACAATAAATGTTTTAATAAAGATATAAAAATTTCTACAAATTTCTATTTCAAGTCAATTTTTTGTAGTTATTTGTAGAATTTTTTCCCGCCAGAGTGATCGTGCCGACTGCTCGCTGAGAGATCCTCTTCGGAGGCTCGCGACCCCCCGTTCAAGGGAGATGAGAAAAAATTAACGGGATTCGTCTCGCGAATGCCGCGATATAGAGAGCCCGCGAGGCCGTTGAACGAATACTTTTACAGGGGAAGATCTCGCGTGTCCGAACGCGCCCCCGTCCGCGCGGCGCGCCGGTCAGACCTGCCCTACCTTCCGCGTGTGTTTGCCCATCGCGCGAGGGGGAGGATCCCGCGCCACGCGGGGTTGCCCTAGGCCAGAACATGCATTATTGGATAGAGTTACGTTAAACACACGCGCCGCACGCGCTTCCTCTCGCCGGCGATGCCGAGGTATCCTCGGCCCGCGCGCTTCGCGAGCACGTCACCCGCGCCGTCCGAGGATATCGGATGAACACGGACGAGTTTGCCGCCGACAAATACACGATTGTATGTCACGTACGCCGTCGCCGTCGGTGAACGTCCGCGTATCTTCGACCGACGGCATGCCCCGTCCCCCGTAATTGTTGTACCGTCGTATATGGGAGATCCGCGATAATCCCGGCGCGCTTTCCTTCAGCCGCGGGTTGTCCGACAGACACGGGCAACCGAGCCTTCCCCTTTGCAATAAGGGTGAGATTTGATTCTTCGCGTTTTCCGGCTGCGAAACCGCCGGGAGAGCTGTCGCGTTCTTTGAATTTCTCCTCGGTATATACTTTCAACGTCTTGCAATTGCTGTTAAGGCGCTCTAGTGAAAGAAATAGCTTGATCTATTAGCTTGTACACTTTGAGTTTATGTGGGCAATATGCGTTTATAAGTTTTTATGTTTTAGTGGGTTGTTGAATGGACGATTACCCGATGAGTTAGTGTCGAGAATGTCACTCTTACAGCTCTTTCTATCACGCAGGTTTCGGAAGTTTGGAGTCTCTTCAAGGAAAAGTACATGAATTCTCGAGCGGTAAAAGGCACATCGATCACCCAGGCACTGCGACGTGAGTTTCAGTGCCTTCTTCGACGCCGGTGTGTAAAAACTCCAGGTAAAGTTGTCCACGGATTAAACAGTCCTACGAATTCAGCGGTTCTTGCCGGACGATGTCCAAGCGTGAAGCCAATCCGCCGCCCACCCGTCAAATTCCACATTTAATCAATATTAATTCTATGTTTAATATTCCGCGTACACTATATCTAAAATTTTACATCTACACACTTGATGTTGCATACATGCTACATCGAATATTCAAAAGGGATAGAGAGGATATGTGCGTGAATGATTTAACGAGAGCCTGTAAGATTCTAAAGATTTATTTCAATTTGCATACATTTTAAAAGATCATTGATGTTATAATTAATTCGGCAACCGCATGCAGGTCAAATCGAATTCAAAACTCGCTATCTCATCGGATTGTACTTACACAATAGCGCGATATATATATACTATATATACTTAATTCTCGTGTGTAGATAGCCACAAGGGATATCACCGGCGCATCGCCCCCCCCCCCTCTCTTTCTCTCTCTATCATCGACATTGTCGATGCTCTCGATGAACACTACAGCTATGTAATTTCTTGTCATATCACAGAATCGTATTAGTCGTTTGGTTGCAATTTTAACTTGGTGGCAAGAACGAGATCTCTATAAGATTATTCGATAATTCAGTGCGTATACTTGTGCGTACGCACGCAAGAGTGGCAGGAGAATTCGCGTAATATTAATATCGGACGATCGAAGCGTTATACCCGTCGGCAGCGTCGCGGTCGACGGGACGTTAACGAGCTCTATTTAGAGGAAAAATTCTAGCGGAAGCAACAAGAACTTCTCCCGAGGAAGTTTTCGCCGTGTGGCCCGCCGGGCTTTCCTCAGAGCGATTCGATGACAAAGCGAACCCGGGCGAGTCCTACGCGTCGTTGTCTGTGTACTAAGCTCTGCGGACTTGTTTTTATGCTTTTCTTAAATCCCTTTCTCTGCCCCGTTTCGGGCGTAACGTAAGCGATTATAAGATTAAAACTCTATTGTTCATGCAAAAAGTCTTAAAATTGATTTTACAAGTGTATAACTGGTTTCAAGAGAGATAGGTATATGTGTATATGTCGCTACCATTAAAAAGGCACAAATGTAAATGGCTACTAGATCAATGGTTATTCTGTAATTATCACAAATATTTAAGAGAAAGCGCCGTATCCTATACTTCGCTTGCGAAAGAGAGAAAGTTATATATATATATATATATATATATATTAAAATTACCTATATTAATGCAGTAATATATGTATACATACGAATTTAGCATAAAAATTAAGACCTAAAGTTTCGAAACGCGTAAGTTAGGTCTGCCGTTCGAGTAAACGGACACTACAGACTCTACGTGTCGTAGATTTCAAGTTGGGAATGGTGAGAGTGATAAAGATAAGCGACGCATTGTTCGCGGAAAGAAAGTTCAATAAAAATCAAAGCTTCGCGACAGCTGGACCCTATTCTCAGAATTTGGCACATGCGATTATTGGCGCGTATCTTGGAACAAGCAATTTTCAATGTTTACTCCAGAAAGTATGTCTGAGAGAAATTTTTGATATGGATGTCGACCCTCAAGCCTCGATTGTTGCGGTGTCTTTGGCAAACCAGCGTGCCATTCATAACTTCACCTACAAGACGACATACACTATTTTAACTGCAATAATTGTATTATTACGTTTTGAATTGTGCCTTAAGATATCTGTATTTATATCGACTTATCTTTTCAAGATAATCGGCGAGATGACATAAAAGACTAGATAAGAGTTGAGACATGCGCTACTGAATATTCTTGAAAAGTTCGTAAAAAAAGTTAACAGGAAATCAAATTTGTAAAGGAAGTTACAAGAAAATCCGATTCAAGTTTTACGGGCACGTAATTGTTTGCTTTATCGACGAACGAGAAAGTAATATAGTTACTTTACCGAAGGCGCGAAGTTTGAATCGGACAAAGTTAACTTCTTGTAACTTTTTGTAAAGACACATTTCGCTAATAACTCTGAGGATTTTTCGAGAGTATTGCGAGATGTAAATATTTCTCACCCCTCGCTTACAATTCCTTATCTAATCTTAACGAGAAATACAGACATATTAAAGCATTATTTAAAATAAAGTAATCAATGGTTGCGATAAATAACCAAAAATATAATTAATATTGCATTTTGAATGGTATTTTATAATGCTATCTAATATAATAATTAGGCATATCATTTAATTAACTATATTTAATATTAGAGATTTAAAATGTCATTAAAAATAAATGTTACAATTATAATATTAATTGTATATTAATGTATAGTTATGAAATTAGTTAAAAACGTATAACTTACCTTCAGTTATGCTGATGGGCTCTTTTAAAAAAAATGCCGTCTGTTTCCAATGTGTTGGCAGAGAAGAGGGGCCCGTGCTGAAATGAACCGGATTCTCGAGATCAAAGAAAATGTCAAAGTAACCGATTATCGCGGTTAACGATCCAGTCTTCTTCACGTTCAACGTGAAAGGAGACGAGAAACTGATGCAGTCCGTAGTGACTTTATACAAGTCGAAGGCTTGGATCTCGGCGGTGCTTGTTATCAAATCGTCGACATTGCAGATTTCTATGCTGGGTTCATGTAGCACTTCCGCTTTCATACAGCGCATTTTAAAACCGTATACGTTTGACCAATAATCAACCAGTTCGATATATCTCTCTGCGGAACAACAGTAATCTGCATAAAATAGCTTGCCAAAGGATCGAATAACATGCAATCATTTAAATTATATGTTTCAAGTACGAAGGGCTCCTGCCAATGAAATATGTAAAATTACTGCAGTAAAAATTCAAACTGTAACACATACTCGTGTCACCACTTCCCACAATATTGATTGTGCATCTGTTTGGAAGTATCACTCCATCGGGTGTGAGATAATGGTCCCTAGCATAAATAACAGTGTCCAGCATCCCTTCGAACAAGAGAAAGTATCCCATCCATTCGGATATTATCGCGTCCACTTTCTCTACTCCTAAATTAATATCTTCCAGACGACCCTTTTTTAAAGTGATTATGTCGCTGAGGTTGTTCTCCCTAAAATCAATTAATTCTTTTATTATACAGGGTGCCCGAAAAGAATAAATTATATAATTTATTTGAAATAAATGATATAATGTATACCTTACTATTTCCATAGCGTGGTATATCACGTCAGACTGATCGACGCTAATAACTTTACGGCAACCGGACTTGGCCGCAAACAGAGACAGGATACCAGTCCCGCAACCGACGTCCAGCATTACACAATCGTGGAACTTGTTGGAATTCGTCAATAATGCGTCACGGTAGCTTTCCGTTCGTACTTTATCCTAATAAAGTACATCTTCATCACTTTTCGTAGACGTACTGATAAATATTCTGCTTTTAAAGAAATTTTGAAAAGACAACGTTTCTTCTGCCAGAGATGCAGCCTCGGCTTGTTACAAACCACGATCTTACAATTCCAAATGTTACATTATGGGTAAATTCTCATTAAACAGACTCACTTATTCGAAACTTACAGTCAACATTTCGTGGTGTATAGCAAAATGGTTGTACGTATTGAAGTAGCCCTCGTCGGCGCTAGGATTATGAGCGTTAACCGAAACAACACTTTTCTCCTTCTCGTCCAGGTCGTCACCCAGTATTAATTTCTGAGCCTTCTCCTTCATCTCCTCCATTTGCTGTAAAAAGATTTCCTCGCGTTACACCGTGGAAAAACGTTTGCTAATCATACGGTTGTACCTGTCTCATCAGAAAACACCTGGTTTCACTTTCTTTCAGCTGAGACTGGAGCGACTTGATGGAACTTTTCATATCTTCATATTGTGTTTTCGACAAAATCACATCACTGTCGTCGTGACGTATCTGTCTCGCTCCTCTCTCCTCGCTAACGTCCCTGACGTTGATGAGATCCTCGATATCTGCGTTAAAGTAATTTAACAAGTCAGTGCTTGACGCGCGCCAAGTCATCGACGGAAGGAATCGCCTCAGTCTCGAGCTCCCTGTACTTGCCGTACATTAACCACGGATCGTCCTCCACGACAGGATGCAAATACTCATCTCTGTCCCAGGCCTCTTCGCCCAGCGTACTCAGCTGCTCCGGCAAGGTCTCCTTGCGACGAATAAAATTGATCAGCTTGATGTACGAGTAGGTGTCGTAAATGTGTCTTCTTATAAAATCGCAGAGGTCGAACTTGTGGAGAGTCTTGGTGTGGTGCAGCGCGGCGGGAAAGCCGTTGGTAATTTCCGTACAGAACAAGCACGAAATTTCGTTAGGATCCTCACCGTTTTCCTCCCAATCGTCCCCGCTGTCACTGTCGCTCGACATGTCCTGGCTGTATCCTGAAAAGCGAAACGCTTACAGACGCGTTCAGTGTTAAATAAAAATAAACGACGAAGGGCACACAAGTGCACGTAATTAATAGTAGTGTAAAAAATTAAATATATCTCTTTGTTTCATGTCGCGCAAAACGCTCCACAATCGGGACCGTGACGGGAGATACGTCGTTTACGTCGTGTAAATCAACCGCTCGGCCCTTTTGCCGATCGCCAAGCGCGGCAGATTGAAGCCGCGACGATTCCCCGTCGTTTCGCGACCCGTCGCGCGAGACTCTCATTAATGTTTTACCTAATTCTGCCATGGCGAGCCACTTCCTCCCTCGCGACGTTAACCACAAAACGCTCGCAAGAGTCGAGCACGTGTCGCTGACTGACGCAGGTCATTCAGGGTTGCCAGGTTATGTGACAGCAAAGCCGCCAATATGCAGCGCGCTGAACTGGAGACTTTGGATGTGTTCGAAAATGGATTTAGTTACTGCCAGTGAAAACAGTATAGTTGGTAGCAATGAAAATTACTGGTGCTGCGTTTTTCGCACGCCAGTAAAGTCAGTAAGGCTGGG